GCTTGGCTGCTGTGACGGTCTGGATGGGGGCGAACAAATTGAAATTGAATCCAGACAAGACAGAGGTACTCCTGGTTAGTCGCAAGGCCGAACAGGGTATAGGGTTACAGCCTGTGTTAGATGGGGTCGCACTCCCCCTGAAGACACAGGTTCGCAGTTTGGGGGTGATCCTGGATTCATCGCTGAGCCTGGAACCCCAGGTCTCGGCGGTGACCAGGGGAGCCTTCGCACAGTTAAAACTTGTGCGCCAACTGCGACCGTACCTTGGGAAGTCTGACCTAGCCACGGTAGTCCACGCGCTGGTTACATCCCGCCTTGATTACTGCAACGCTCTCTACGTGGGGTTGCCTTTGAAGACAGTCCGGAAGCTCCAGTTAGTTCAACGGGCGGCAGCCATGATGTTAACAGGAGCTGAGCGCAGGGAGCATACAACTCCCTTGCTGAACCAGCTCCACTGGCTGCCGATATGCTACCGGGCTCAATTCAAAGTGCTGGCGTTGGCCTTTAAAGCCCTAAACGGTTCTGGCCCAACTTATCTATCCGAACGTATCTCAGCCTATCAGCCCACCAGGACCCTAAGATCTTCCGGAGAGTCCCTTCTCTCTATCCCTCCAGCTTCAGAAGTGCGGCTGGCGGGGACGAGAGATAGGGCCTTCTCTGTGGTGGCCCCCCGGCTTTGGAACACCCTCCCTATAGAGGTACGATCAGCCTCTTCACTGATGGTGTTTAGGAAGAGACTAAAAACATGGCTGTTCAAACTAGCATTCGGCTAATCTGTGGCAATCGATCGATTCTTGGTGACTATGGACAGAAAATATGGACAACGATCTCTGGACTGTGATTTCAACTCGAGACATATGGGATTATTATTGGTGGCCCAATAATTTGTTGTTGTATGTGTATATGTTTTAAATTGGAGATTGTTTTTAATCTGCTGTAAACCGCAATTGAGTCGCCGATCCAGGCTGAGAAATTAGCGGTATACAAGTGTACCAAAATAAAATAAATAAATAAATAAATAATTCCATTGGGAAGAGAGTTCCATAGTCAAGGAGCCACCACTGAGAAGACCCTGTCTCTCATTCCCACCAGTTGTGCCTGTGATGGAGGTGGGACCGAGAGCAGGGCCTGTCTGGATGATCTCCAAGATTATTCAAAGAGAGAGATACATTCAGATAGGTAAGCTGGGCCAGAAACTGTGAAGGCTGAGAGAGGATATGATAGCCATGTATAAATATGTGAGAGGAAGCCACAGGGAGGAGGGAGCAAGCTTGTTTTCTGCTTCCTTGGAGACTAGGACGCGGAACAATGGCTTCAAACTACAAGAGAGGAGATTCCATCTGAACATGAGGAAGAACTTCCTGAGTGTGAGAGCCGTTCAGCAGTGGAACTCTCTGCCCCGGAGTGTGGTGGAGGCTCCTTCTTTGGAAGCTTTTAAACAGAGGCTGGATGGCCATCTGTCAGGGGTGATTTGAATACAATATTCCCGCTTCTTGGCAGGGGGTTGGACTGGATGGCCCACAAGGTCTCTTCCAACTCTTTGATTCTATGATTCTATGAATTGTGCTTGGAAGCAGATTGGCAGCCAGTGGAGCTGGCATAACAGGAGGGTCATGTTCTCCCTGTATGCTGACCCAGCGAGCAGCCTGGCTGCCGCCCATTGAACCAACTAGAGCTTTCAAACAGTCTTCAAAGGCAACCCCACGTAGAGTATGTTGCAGTAGTCTAGCAAAGCTCGCATTTCCCAAACTTAGCCAAGCTTTTATAGCCCTTTGCCTTCCAATCGTACCAACAGTTATGATGGAGGACAGATATTCTCATTCCCCTCTGGCCGTCTGTTTGTTTATTTGTGGGTCCCCAGCAATAGAGGCATTGCCACTCCATTGCTCTCCTGCTTATTATATTCTGAACCAAAAACCAAGTCTTGGGATTTATTTGGTCTAATCTACACCTCGTTTCTCCGCTGCAAAACCTTTCTAGAGCCTTGGAATGCACTGAAACAAACCTTCCTTTTGTCTGAGGTTCCTGGCATTCCTTATCTCTCGGCAACCTTGTAGCACACCCCCACACCCCAAATATGTAATTGCTGCATGAACTAAAGATATGCTATCTCCTGAAGACAATAAAAGGAGTTCACTCGAGCTGACCCCTGGGTTTCCATTTGCCACCTTTTCTGATTGGAAGGCATGATAAAGTTAATAGGATTTCCTCCTGCTGCAACTCTAGGAGGTGGAAGCATCGCAAATAGCATGAGAACCTTGTCCACCTTTGTATGGGACTCCCCACTGTTTCACTGATCTGCAAATGAGAGGGCAGGGAGGCAAAGCAGTATTTGTCTCTTAATGCTGTGCATTAATATGAGTGGAATCCCATTGTTATCTGATGTGAACGCATATTTATTTATTTACAGTATTTATATTCCACCCTTCTCACCCCACACGGGACTCAGGGCAGATACAATGCACATATACATGGTAAACATAAACATACAATATATATAGACAGACACAGAGGCAATTTAACATTCCAGCTTTCCGGCTTCATGAGGTTATGCCCAATTCCGGCCACAGGGGGAGCTGTTGCTTCACCATTCACTTGTGACACCGAGTCCTTGATGGAGTACTTCCTCATTCTTATGCATGCTGCTGGAAGGTTTTTATGGTGTTGTAAATTAGTTAAATTAGCCTCCCCAAATAAAGCAGAACCTAAATTTCCTACTTGACAGATGCAACTGTCTTTCAGGCTGCATAGGTCAACAGCAAGCTAGACTATTAATGGTCGGGAGCTCACTCTGACTCGGGCTGGCTTCGAACTCATGTCCTCTTGGTCAGTAGTGATTTAATGAAGCTACTAACCAGCTGCGCCACAGCCTGGTCCTGATATGTTCCCATACAGAAGGGACTGGACATTTGTTTCATCCTAAGAACATCCAAATTCGCTTCAAGGTCAGGGAAGCAGAATTAGATGTCACCTATACTGTAGAATTAATGCTGTTCAGTATTAATTGCCATGACTCAATGCTATGGAATTGATTGAGTTGTAGTTTGGTGGAGCAAAAGCATTCTTTGCAGAGAAGGCTAAGGCCTTGTAAAACTTGGAATTCCACAGCATTAAGCCATGGCAAACCCATGGAATCAAACTGCATTAATTCTACAATGTAGATGCACCCATGGAATCATAGATATGGATGAGGCCACCCCCCACCCTTGGGATCAAATTCCCTTCTGCTATGTTAGGTATACAACATCAAAGCCTTCCTGAAAGATGGCCATCCAGCCTCTGTTAAAAAAAAACCTCCAACACACCCCCAGGCAGCATGTGGGTCAGCATTGTGCATATAGGCAAGTATCTGCATCTGATGTGCTTTTAGTTCAGATGTGCATTCAGTTGTACAACTCAGGACAAGGGCTGGCTAGCATGATCAGTGTGCAATTCCTATATAGAGAGAGACCCTACATAGCTCTGACGTACAACTATGCCAGTGATAGCACATTGTATTCCTTTCATAATGCTAGAATTTATTCCCATCTACTGAAACTGAGTAGTTAGAGGCTCCAAAAGAGATCAAAGGAAGGACGTCTTCACAGACAGGACATGTTAAATTGCAGAACTTACTGCCACAAGCTATGGCTGCCAGCTTGAATAGCTTAAAGCAGGGGTGGGCAACTAGGCTAGGGGACAACATTGGATTCTCAAGGCCCTTTGTGTGCATTGGGAGAGAACTGTCTCCATTACTTCCAAAAGTCTTCAGTAAAGGTAGTGGTTTCCCCTTGACATTAAGTCTAGTCGTGTCCAACTCCGGGGATTTGGTGCTCATCTCCATTTCTAAGCTGAAGAGCCAGCGCTGTCCATAGACACCTCCAAGGTCATGTGACTGGCATGACTGTATGAAGTACCATTACCTTCCCATCGGAGCAGTACCTATTGATCTACTCACACTTGCATGTTTTTTGAACTGCTAGATTGAGAGAAGCTGGGGCTGACAGCAGAAGCTCATGCCACTCTCCAGATTTGAACCTGCGATGAGATTGGATAAATTAAGGATATTTCAGCCTTCAATCTACATTTATAGAGGATGGGTCTCTCAGTCACTGCTAATCATGATGGTCATAGATAGAGCATCCCGTGTGCCAGTTGCTGGAAAGCATGGGGCAGAAAATGCGACTGCACTCATGCTCTGTTGATGGTCTCATGTGAACATGTGATTAATCACTGAAAAATTAAATAGATTTATTTATTTACTTACTTATTTATTTACTATATTTATATACCTTCCCTCTCAGCCTGCAGGCGACTCGGGGTGGTTCACAGTTGGTATCAAGACCCTAAAATACAATTAAAAACATTAAAATATTATAAAACCATAGCAAAGTCAATAACAAACATATATCATTAGTGTCTCCTTGCTGAAAACATTGGCCAATCACATCGTCTAATCGTTCCATTTTCCTATGTCAGTTACATAGATACTTTTCTTGACTTTTCTTCAGTCTTGACTTTTCTTCAGAATGTTAAAAGGGAGGGGGCCGATCTGATATCCCTAGGCGTTCCATAGCCGAGGGGTCACCACTGAGAAGGACAATAGTCTGATCCATCATGGATCTCCTTATGAAGTGATGTTCCTGATGGTGCAAATTGGTTGACAGGGGAATATACTGCTACCTGGGAGTTGTGGTGGAACTTTCTTCTCTTGAGGTTTTCAAACAGAGGTTGGATGGCCATCTGTTGGGCATGCTTGGATTGTGTCTTTCTGTATGGCACAATGGAGTTAGTCCTAGAGTCCCTTCCAACTCTAGGACTGTGTGCATGACAGACCTCTATGTACTCACAACTGTGGCCCAGTTGTAATCCTTCGTTCTATGAGTCCTTGGAAGTGAGGTCCTGTCTCCAACTGGCGTATATTGACAAATAGGAAGTCAGTTCCTTAGGCGATCGTGGTCTTCTTTGTCTTCTGAACGGTGTCCTCTGGCTTCTACTAGAAAAATTCTTTCTCTCCACAGAATGGCGACAAGCGAGTGGAGCCAGGATGATCCTCCAGGATGAGGACCTCACCACCAAGATTGAGAATGACTGGAAGAGACTCAATACTCTTGCTCACTATCAGGTAAGTGGTTGACTTTTCAGTTTTTCTCAAAATCAGTGGGGAGACTCATAGCAGCTCTCAGACTTTAGAACTCCATTCCAATGAATGTTGGGCTATGTATTGTCAAAGGCTTTCATGGCTGGAATCACTAGGTTCTTATGGGTTTTTTCGGGCTATAGGGCCATGTTCTAGAGGCATTTCTCCTGACGTTTCGCCTGCATCTATAGCAAGTGTTCTCAAATAATATGCTGTGTCCAGGCTGAAGTACTTCAGCCAGAGAAGTCAGCCATAGCAGAGCACCTGATGAACCAGCCTGGACACAGCATATTATTTGAGAACACAGAAATGCTGGACCACACCAACAACCACCATGTCAGACTACACAGAGAAGCCATTGAAATCCACAAGCATGTGGACAATTTCAACAGAAAGGAAGAGACCATGAAAATGAACAAAATCTGGCTACCAGTATTAAAAAACTCTAAAATTACAACAGCAAAACAGCAGAGAGGAAACAACCAGGCACATCTTAACACCTCTCAACAGGGGATTTTCCCAGGCTCAGCCAGGCCTTCAAATGCTAATGAAGGTGGTCAGTTGAAACATTCACACCTAGCTCCAGCAGGGAAGAGCTCTTTGCCCTTGTTGAGAGGTGTTAAGGTGTGCCTGGCTGTTTCCTCTCTGCTGTTTTGCTGTTGTAATTTTAGAGTTTTTTAATACTGGTAACCAGATTTTGTTCATCTTCATGGTTTCCTCCTTTCTGTTGAAATTGTCCACATGCTTGTGGATTTCAATGGCTTCTCTGTGTAGTCTGACATGGTGGTTGTGAGAGTCGTCCAGCATTTCTTCATAGCAATGTGCCATGGCAGTTAAAGTAGTGCCAAACTGTATTAATTCTATGGTGTAGTGCAGCCTTGGTATGCATAATGAAGTATCCAAATAAGGAATATCAGCATATTGGACAATGTCTTTAACATTTGTAGTAAAACCCAGAGAAAACGGACTGCCCAACTGCCACGGAAGCCACCAGTTTCTGCCTATTTGTGTCTCCCTTTGTCTGTTTCTGTCTGTCACCTTGCTGACATTCAATCAGAAATTTCCTAAGTGGATATAGGACAAAAAATAGTCACCTGCCTGCCTTCTTTTGTTGATTTTTTCCCTCCCTCGCCCCCTCTGCCTTGCCTTTCCGGTGATGGCATCGGATGAAATGTCAAGCCAGAGATTAGAAACAGATTGGGAACGGAGATGAGATAATGAGGAGGACAAGAGTTAATTCCAGTCATAGCGGGAAAGAGATTGATGTGCTGTATGCTGGAGGGAGAAGTCAGAAATCTCCAGAGAATCCTACAAGGAAAGAGCACGGGGATGGGGATGGGGATGAGAGAGAGGCACAGAGAGGGGCATGCATCTCTTCCCTAAAATGGCCCCCAAATTTCCCAAAACACTTTTTTTATGTTTAATATGTTTTTTTAATTTACATATTCATAATAACAGCCAAACAAATCTAAACACTTCCTAACATCTAGCTTGAACCAATACAATACTTCCTAAGATATATACAACATCTGTGTTTGGTTTTCTGAAAATTCTCCTTTCCTTGCATTCTTCTACCCTACCCAGAACAACAATTCTTGTAAGCCGCTCCAAGCCCCAGGGAAATGGCAGCATATAAGTCCGAATAATAAATAAATAAATAAGAGAAATTTGCATAAAGGTAAAGGTCCGTCCCCCCCTTTTGATATTGAGTCTAGATGACTCCAGCTCTGGGGAGTGGTGCTCATCTCCATTTCTAAGCTGAAGAGCTGGTGTTGTCCGTATTCACATCCAAGATCATGTGACCAGCATGACTGCATGGAAAGCAGAAGCAGTATCTATTGATCTACTCACATTTGCATGTTTTCAAACTGCTAGGTTAGCAGAAGCTGAGGCTAATGATGGGAGCTCACCCTGCTCCATGGATTCAAACTGCTGACCTTTTGGTCAGCAAGTTCAGGAGCTCAGCGGTTTAACCTGCTGTGCCACCGCAGCCCCTGAGTATACACTATATTGTGTGTATGTGTGTGGGTTCACGCTGTGCAGGTTCAATTCCAACAATAGACAGGGTATAGGGTTTTTAACTTTAAAGATCCCACCCGCTGTCACCAATTGTGCTGACCGTTCTTAATTCTGCCGCCAATTATACAGGTGTGGATGATTATCGATGTAATTAATCTCAGGCTTCAATGGTGTATAAGAATTTGTTATAGAGGAGGCCAATTATTACTTGTAAATTAAGGTAACTGCCACCAACGTGAGGTATTGGAGGTACCACCGATGAGATCTGGCTCCACAGACGCAGATTAATGGAGATGAGACTGTCTTCAACAAAAGTTAACAAGTTTATTATGTACAAAGCGTATGGTTGCAGGCTTTGAATAACTTATAGAACTTTGAATAACACTTGGTTTGCAATACAGTCCACTTTTCTAGATGACACAACTTGTGATTGACTTTTACTGAGGTGAAGCACTTTAATAAACAATGTTTCCTAATGTGAATAGCCTTCCAATTTGATCTTTTCTTGATCAAATCCCTGATCTCTAATCCTTCCCTGACTAGTGATCTAAACGAGCTTCCTTTAGTCTACTTTAACTAAAGAAACTGGCTAGGTTTCTCCCTTCAGCCTTCCTAGACTGAAAAACCTTCAGCTATTCACACACACTGCTGTCCACTCTCCACTCTCAACTGCCAACTCTCCACTCTAAACTCTAAACTGCCAACTCCTTTTTCCAAAGACGCACAAAACATTTTCTACTTGGCTCCGCCCACTTCTCACTCTCCTGCCTGGTCTCCTTGGCAACCTCACTGTGGATACAACCAGTTAACTCTAGTTTCAGCTGCTGTTACCAACACAAACATATTCTAACAGTTAAACATATACATAGTATCAATGACTTCTGCACAACGCATGCATGTGTGTGTATATCTATATGAATAAAAATGTAATGTTCATTTGTGGGATTAACATAACTCAAAAACCATTGGCCGAATTGACACCAAATTGGACACAAGATACCTCTCAGGCCAACAAGTGACCATCACCCCTAAAAACAGACACACACACACACAAAACCCCAGTGGAACAGACTTAACCCCTCCCCCCCAAATACACCATATATACATATACACATACACTAATATACATATCCACATGCACACATTCATACACACACACACACACATGTATACAGATATATATATATATATATGCACAAACACACACAAATATACACATATACACACATACATATACATACACACATATATACATATACACATGCACACACATATACATATACACATACATACACACAGAAATGCACAAATACACACACACACACACATATATATATATACACACACACATATATACACCCTCACCCACACACATATATATACAAATACATATACACATACATAAACAGTTAAACACATATACACAGACTGGGCCACAACAACGTGTGGCAAAGGATGGCTATATACCCCCTTGTCTACCACAATGACCTGAACAGGTACCGCAGGAGCTGAGAGGGAAAAAGAAGGAGCCTGAAGCTATTAGGAATTGTGGGAGTTGGAGTGCAAAAAACCTAGAGAAAGTCCAAAGTTTGCCCATTCCTGCTCTAACGTGATTTGAGTAGAATGCTAGATGAGAGAGAAGCAAGTCAGCTTCTGGATCCAAGGAGGAGAAATGTACCAAAGCACTGAGATGTCATGAAGTGAAAGAAGCGGCATGAACAAATCACAAGATCTGAAGTCACATAAGGAAAGAGAGAGCCAACCAAGAGCAGAATATAGGTGCAATGTGAGCCCAACTGCAGATAGAGTAGATGAAGTTGACAAGCTGGAATGTGTCCAAAGGAGGGTGACCAAAATGATCCAGGGTCTGGAAAACAAGCCTTATGAGGAGCGGCTTAAAGAGTTCGACATGTTTAGCCTTCAGAAGAGACGGCTGAGAGGAGACATGGATGAGGGCATGTATCAAGATGTGAGGGGAAGTCATGGGGAGGAGTGAGCAAGATTGTTTTCTGCTGCCCTAGAGATTAGGACGCAGAACAATGGCTTCAAACTGGGCATGGATAGAGTCACTCGGATAACTCGTTGCTCGTAATAATTTTGTTAAAATTACATTTTTGAAGTGATATCGAAGCTTTTTTAAAAACCAGAAGTCCCTTTGCCATTGCGAACCTGTTTCGCCATTTTTGTTACGACTCAGGAAGTGAGTTGGAAATTATTCAGCTTTTCCCCGCTTTTGGTCCCTGACCTTGGATCAAGCTAGAGAAACCAGTTTTAAACCAGAGAAGGAAGGAATTTCCTGGCCTCAGCTAAAGCCAGAGAAGCCAGTTTTAAACCAAAGAAGGAAGAAATCTCCTCCGCTTGCTTTTCTCTGCTTCTGGAATAAAACAACTACTTTCAAAATAAAGACCACCCAGTGAAACAGGAAATAACACTTTCAAACCATTAACAAAATGATTCGGAAGTCTTTGAAGTTTCAAAAAGTTTTGAAAAAAAATTCTGGGAAAATCAGAATTGACTGTAGAATCGAATCACCAACAACCCCCTAAATTTTTTTTAAATTTTTTTGTTTTTTTTTGTGGATCAACCAAGCCTGCTTCAAACTACAGGAAAGGAGATTCCACCTGAACATGAGGAAAAACTTCCTGACTGTGAGACCTGTTCAGCAGTGGAACTCTCTGCCCTGGAGTGTGGTAGAGGCTCCTTCTTTGGAGGCTTTGAAACAGAGGTTGGATGGTCATCTGTCGGGGGTGCTTTGAGTGCGATTTTCCTGCTTCTTGGCAGAATGGAGTTGGTCCACGAGGTCTCTTCCAACTCTATGATTCTAAATGAGTTTTCTTCTGCAATAGAGGAATGAATGTTGGGATTGAGAGGGTGGAAGATCATCCAAGAAATTGCTGGAACCATCACTGCATAAAGTAATGGGCAAGGGAGCTTTTCTTGCAGACAAAGGGGCAAAAGTTTCAGGG